CCCAAAACTGAACACAGTATTCAAAGTGAGGCCTCACCAGTGCCAAGTTCAAAGATACAATGCAACCAGCTTCCTTGTAGAGAAACAGTCCTAAAAGGACATTCTAGAAACAGAGAAGCAATTAGCAAAGCAGCTTAACCAGGCTGGTTCTAGCAGCCTTTATAATTGCCTTCAAAAATTACTGTGGTAAGCATTATCAAATTTACTGACTACAGCTTACAGATAGAATTATTCCAGCTATCTCTTATGCTTAGATGATTCACAGCATTTTAAAACTGACACAGCCCTATTAATCACAGACTCTACTCACAAATTTTGGTATTGAGACTGAGGGTAAAAATTAGGGGAGAACAGAAATGAGCTCCTGGATTTGAATCAGCTTCAGCAAAAGTGTGATTTTTGCCTCCCTGCCATACAGTCACTCTGGCCTTATTTGTTCAAGTCCCCTGTGAATTCGTAGTTCATTTTGCCTACGTGACATCCAAGTGGATGTTTTGGCTGAGCGAGTTCTACATCCCAAAACCCTGCCTTACCACAAGGGTACTTTGGATTCAGATTTGTGCAATACACTAGATAGGAATACTGAACAGCAGACCCACAGCGAGACATTTGCTGGAACTGGGTATTATCTGAATGTTTTTGGTCTTCTAAGACCCTCCAACCTCCTCCTTGTAGCCACAGAATAAACAGAAAGCCAAAGCTCTGGATGACAAAAGTACTTAATAAGGGGAAGCCTCCTTGCCGAGCTGAGGCCTGATACACTAACCTCAAGGTAGATTGTTTGCAGTGCTTGCCCAGACCCTGGAACAGCGGGCAAGGAGGGGTTACTGTCTGTCTCACTGTTCCAGAGGTCCCTGTAACAGAAGAAATCTTTCATAGTCCATCTCTCACTCTCCAGTTTGTGGGAGCACCCAACACTGACAGCTAGCTATGATAAATTAGCACAATGCCATGCCCTTTTAGTGCTATATTTTTCAACCTCTAGTAGGTTGGGGGGCGGGGGAGAAGGCATCAAAGTATGCTTTAGTTTATGTCCTGAAGACTAACCATTTAGGATTATTTCAGACCAAGTGTGGAAATTCGGAAATCCCCTATGGCACATGGCCTGCCAATATTCCCATCTGGTTTAGACCATTGGTATAATTGGTGCATCAATTCTGCAAATAGTCTGCTAATGCTAGCCACTGAATTGTATTACTTACCAGATACAAGTGAAGAGTAATGGTCAGTGTATGAAATTAGTAAGGATATTTGCTTTCCTTGGAAATATTTTAGGTGAGGGGTTTGTAAACTGAGATAGGTTGAAAACCACTGCATTAAGCCATTCATATTAACACACCTCTACTCCTGCAGATACACTGAACATAGTTCCCTACTACCTCAATCACCAGCCATAGTTAGAAAAAAGAACAAACCCACCATCACCACCCCCCAACAGTGACGAGAATGGTACATTTGTTCCTCCACAAGAGCTAAAGCTACTCCTTGACTACCAAATCTATTATACGTCAAATGCCAAAACCAGTTTTCAGAGAAACCTTGTGAAGGTGAACTGTGCTCTACTCAAACTGTTACTATTCCTTCATCACTATCTGCGAGTCAGATAAATTACTATTCCTTCCCTGAATCCCTTCTGGAAAAATGTGAACATACCCCAGAGTTCAGAAGTGACACACACAAATTGTGCTGCCATACAGCAGAAAGTTTACAGGATAACAGACATAACATGACAATGAAGAAATGCTCCAAGATTTCCATCTTGCCTCAGCACACAATGTTGTTCTTTTGCATGGCTTTGAATCCCAAGATAAGCAGATGTTGCAACATTCCAAAACGTTCTTCTGAAAAAAAGATAATTCAACACAGAGCTACATGCCCACCATTAAGCCTCAAACTTTAAAGACGTAAAATCAATGAGCATTATGTGCCAAATTCCCTTTAGAAATAGCTTGTATGAATCACTCTTCCTACAGCAAAAATATTCCATGCCAGATTAGTTACATTAGACACAAATACTGTGCCTGCACAGATACCCCTAAGGTGGTGAATGGGGCAGATCTCTTGCCTCCTGCATTCATCTGTCCACAACAGTCTCAACTTCTACTGCACAGGAACAGCTGTAAAGCCAGACCAAAGGTCTGTCTGTCCCATATCCTCTGGTTTAAGCACAGTAGATACGTCAAGTGACCCTTCCCCATTATGTCCTCCCAGATGCAGCAAAATAGAAAGGAAAAATACAGAAAAATACCACCCATTTATCACATAGTGGATAAGTTTTAGGTTTCTTTCTCTGGCTTAGAAAAGGTAGAGTTATAGAAAGCCAAAATTGTTCAAGCCGAAGATGCAGTGCTGAATTACTGATTTTTAACACAGATGGATTTGTTTTTAAGAAAAATATCCTCAAATGCTGGTGAGCAAAATTAAGTCAGTGGCTTTCAGGCTACCTATGCAATCAAAGCCTGCCGCTGCAGAGGATGAAATACAAATGTTGGGCTGTTTTCTGTTGACTGGTCCAGCATCTGTAAAAAACCTTATTAATATTTAGAATGATTCATTCTAATGGATTTGCCAAGCAACAGCCCTTATCTGGAAATAGCATACTGCATGAAATCAAAATGGACAAAGTATGTCACTGCTAATCAGATACACAGCGGGACTTGAACTCCTTTCAAAGCCACCGACTTCTTACAGCATCTGCTGGACAGGTGACCTAGCTCTGTGATGATCTAGAGCTGTGACACAACAGTTACAAAGCCTTTGGTGAAATAAAAGGAAGGAATCTTCCTTGGTATTAAACGATTGCTGGTTTTTTGTTGCTTGCATTTAAATGGACACTATTTAAGAGCCTGTCTCCTTGGGCAAGTATTTTTATTCTAACATGTTTATATTTAAAACCAAAAAATTGTTACCACCAGCCTTCTTGAAACCATCATTTTTCTTCATAAGCCATCTCTTTGCCAACAGAAAAACCTGCAGAAGCTAAAAAAGGACAAGCAGGACAAGAAACAGATGTCTCAGGCCTATCACTGAGCACAAGCTCTAGGCAATGTAAATGAATGTCCCATTCGATAAAGAAGCGTAAGAACAGCAGTAAATGCTGCTTTCTGGAGATACCATCTTCCGAATTATTTCCCCCTATCAAGCCCTATAGTATTAGCTGTTTAGGAATAATGCAAAGTACTGTATATAACAGGATACAGCACTACAAGCCAATTCAAACTGCTCAGGCTCAGACATACTTATTTGTTTCGCGAGTTATATAAAAATATTCCAAGAATGCAGATATGCAGATTTACACACCTTTATGCCCCTTCTTGTTCATCTAATGTTCAACCAGAAAGAGAATAGAATTCTGGGTTGCCCTTCATACTCTGAAGGAGGTCGTTTTGCGGAAAGGATGGGAGGGGCTGCAGTCCCCAGTGCATGTGTTCCTCATAACACGATGCAGTCACAGGGGAGAGCAGTTCTTTACTCTTCCCCCTCAAGCCTGACTGCATCTGGTCCCATTGGAAGGTTCTTTACACTCAAAAGCCAAAACAGAAAAGATGTGATTTTCAAGCAGTGAAATCAATGTAATGCCCAGGAGAGATGAAATGGATTACACCTATTGCATTTATTGAATAATGTGTTTAAAAAAAAAAAAAAAAAAAATCTGGATTTGCATTGCTAAAGTTCTCAAGCATACAGTTCAAGCAAGAGAACATGAAGAAGGAAAGAGCAATCATTAGGTGCCAATACTCCAGTTGCTGAGTGATTGCATGGGTTTACATAGCATTATGCCTCAGTCCTTGCTAAGCCAATACTATCAGACATTTTATGACAGTTTCAGTGGCTGGAGTAATTGAGGGGTTGCTATTTATTTAGGAATCTGACAGCTGGAACAAGCTGTTATGGCTCCTATCAGACACCAATGAACAACGGTCACTTTATGCTCCATAGCAGAAGTCAGATGATGTCTGACCAAGTCCCCTCTTGACTGTGTACTATATTAAAAAAACCCCATTGTTTCAAAATAATAGGTCTTTGCAAGACCTAAAAAAAGCTCTAGAAAAATACGGATGAAGATATTGGTTCTACCTTGTATATCCTTCTTGTAAACACTGCTATTATCCTTCAGAATTATGCTATTATTGCTCAAATAGTGCTCTCCTTTCCAGTCTCCAGGCTAAGCTCAGAAGGTTGTAAAGATGCTTCTGTTCATTAGGACTCTTTTCTGTATAAGAGGGTATTAACAGGGCTCCAGCTTCAGCATACAGGAAAGCAGGAATTC